CCCGCCGCCTCCTTGCGCGGTATTTTCGCAGCGGCGAAGCGACGCGCAGCGCATTTTCCCCCGCTGAACGCAGCAGCAGCGGCAGCAGCTCCCGTAATGGCTTTCAAATATATGCAAATGGCTACGTGCGGTTGGCGGTTTTGGCAAAAAGCTTGATTAGGATATAAACGACCCAAGGAAAAAAAAAGTGCCTGCGCCCTAAATTTGTCTTTAGATTACAATTCCAGTTGATTTTATTTTATTGTCAACATTGTTAATGATAAAAATAGAGTCGTTTTACAGTTATTTTTACTTTCTGGAAGGAGGCAATTAGACTTCTAATCAGGAATACACAAAAATCTCCCATGATTAACTGCAGTACTTTGTTCAAATTGCTGCTATAAAATTCAGAACAATTTGCCTGTAATGATTATGGACTGGGTTTATTTTGGGAGGTGGAATAAAAGTGGATATAGCATAAATTATCCTCTAATTATACACCAGTGTCGCCTCAATTATCCTCTTATCAAAATGGTTGTCTAACTGCCGCATTTAGTTTCAATTCTCTCCTTTTTTCTATAAAAAGAACTTCATACCTTGTTATTATTAATCCATTTATTATTTGCAAGGGGATTTATATCCGAACATCCAGGTGGTATTACCACTTCTCTTTCAAAGATGGACTAGGGAAAGACATTAAGTTTGATCCAGCACGGCGGAGGATCTCTCTCTCTCTCCTCTCTCCTCTCTCTCCCCCCTCTCTCTCACCCCCTCTCTCTCTTTTTTCCCCCCTTTCCCTCGCTTAAATCTCCTCGCGTCCAGCTAAGCATGAACTCCAGAGACAGACCCCACCGGAGAGGACTGAGGTAGGAAGGACCCTGCGGAACTCGCTAAGCCTAAAGAAATCCGAAAGTTGTTCTAGATGGGGAAAGGGGCTGGAGGCTTCGGGCTTTGAAAGTCAACACCGGCACCAGCAGCCGCTGCTTCCAAAACCTCGCGCAGCCCAGAGACGTCCCCAGACCGATCCCAGGTCTTGACACTGGCTCTCAATGCGACATTCCCTGAGGATTGGTTTTCAGATTCTGCAGATGTTTATATATATATATATATATATATATATATATATATATATATCTAATATATATTTTTTTAACGTGTCGCTTGTGGAAGTACTTAGAGGGGTTCAATTTTTCTTTCTGGGATTTTTTTCTCTTTTTCATTTTTTCCTTTATCTTGGAGTTGTGCTTGCCCACAGCCCGATTATTAGCTCTGGGAAGCCGAAGGATGCGAGCCCCCTCTTCGCATACCGTTGGGGAGGGGGGGGAAGAGGGGGAAGGAGGATGCCAAGCGATGCTCTTTCGGTGGAAGGGCATAACCCGTAGTGTCTCTGCGCTTGTAGTTCATATGGCTTGTTTCAGGGGGGCATGGGGGAGGCATGTCTTTTTTTCCTGTGTGGCTGGGATGTTCTGAGCCCCCTTAGCCACCCTCTCATCGTTGTTTCACTTCTTGAGCCCTCGGAGTCGGTTCAGTAACTCTGAATGCAGTTGTAAGTGTCTTGCCTTGTTCTCCGGCTTTTAACAAGGGTTCCACTTTAACACGCGAAAGGGTAACCCGATCCAGGCGTTTACAAATCTACAATGAATAAAAATATAGAGAAAAGGGGACGAGAAAGGAAAGAATTCCTACTGAGACTCTTTATTCATAGGTGTAGGTAATGTACTCAACAGGAACAGGTACATTTGGCAGTTTTATTGCTTTATACCCTCCAGCTTGCTGTTAACATCATGAAGGCGTTTTTTCGCAGGTGCACATACTAGCATTTTCTCCAGCAGCAAGAGCATGCATAACAAAAGATGTCAGAAAATAGGCTGGGGAGTGTTTGCAACACGTTGTTTTCTTGTTTCGAAATAATTCCTGCCTCGTAATGGATGCTAACACCGGAATGGGGGAAAGTTGGACAGGAGAGGAAATCGCTTTGAAATAATACCTATTTGCTGCCTTGGCGGAGGGAATAAGGCGTCTGAGTGAGACAAAAAGGAGAAGAAGAAAAGACAGGGAGAATCTGCGGGAACCGCTTCCTGCCATAGGCAGCAAACGGAGTTGCTTGTGCATCCATCTCTCGTTCAGCCCAGCTGACGGACGAGATGCGGTGGGGCGAGCGGGACGAGCAGCGGCTCCGGATGTGGCCCGGGGGGATGCGGAGCTCCCGCCGAGTCCTCGGTGGGCGCCGGCCGGAGGGAAGAGCTGCCAACCCGGCGCTGCTCTTCCCCCGCGCTGCTCACACATCCCCGTCTGTCGTCAAGACTGTTGACTCCGTCCAACCTCACACCGATAATTTTGCTCAATTTAATTAGGCCCACCGGGGGTCGCGGGGGGCGTGGGGGTGGAGTGGGGAGCAATAGGGACCCGAGCCGTGCCCCGGTAGAAGCGGCAGCTGCAGGGATATTTATTTTCCCAGGTTCAGGTGCTGAGCCCGCGTTCTGGAGGGGGATGCCAGGGCACAGGGAGGTCCCTCCCGCTGGGGACACTGCGCTGCCGGGCACCGCTCCTCCCCGGCTCCCATTTGCGCGCAGCCGAGCTCCGTCATCGGCCTCTTTCTGGGGAAATTAGACCTGAATCAATAGCTCTGGACGCATCAGAACAGTGGAGTGTCCATTTCCCAGGGTGGGTGACTCGTGAAAAAGGGGTGGGGACGGGCACCCCACACCTCCTAGTCCCCTTGCCCTGAAGTGTCTCCGAAAGTGAGCGGGCAGAAGTCACGAGTGAGGGGCGGGAGCCCACGAGGGGAGCTGCCTTGCTCAGCTGAGCTTCCCGGGAGCCGCGAGGGGCCGGGCGGGCCGGGAGCCTGGCTAGATGGGGCAACGTGCCAGTTAGGGGGAGGCTGGGCACTGTCCCGGGCCGGGAGCCCCTGCACGGCCTCCGTGAGCACAGGTCCGTCCCTGGGAAAAGGCAGCAGGAATTACCCGCATGCCACCCCTCTTCCAGGCTTTCCCGCTCTTTCCGGGGCCAAGCCGGGTTCCCGGAGGTCTGGGCTGCAGCCCTGCTCGGGGGCGATGGGGATATGCCGTGTGCACTGTTCTGCGCTCTATTCCCTCCATACCCTCGGGCCCTGCCCGCGCCTCCCTGGCGGCCTTCTCCTCTCCCCACCCCGCGGTGTAATATTCCCGAAGAATGCTCTCCGCAAGTCACTCTCGCTCGTCTGGAGAGCAAGGAGGCCTTTGCATCCCGAGC